GTGTGTGTTTATATGTTTTCCCAGAACACACACTAGAACATCAAGGATAGTTCAGCTCGAACAGCAGTGAAATCAATGCAGCTGCTCCACTGACTGTGACAATCCTTGATTTAGGATTAAGAGTGCCTGGGTCACTGTTCCCTTCCTAGCCAGTGAAATTTAAAATTATTTTAAAGTTTGTCCCATGCTACTTTTCTGTCCCAGAGGACTCTGTAAAGGCAATGGTGTGTGTCAACACAGAGCAATTAGGTACTGTAAATTATCTAGAGTTTTGCTGCAAATAGCATAGGGGTTAAGATTCCTTAGAGGGAAAAAAAAAGTGAAAAAGTAAATAATATATTAAATTAAGTATTTTCTAAGTTATGCACATCATATTATCAAAATAGTAATCAATTATTTCTGTAAGTAAAAACACAAGATTGTCTTGACCATGGTAGATCAAAATTTAAAGAAGTACTATCAATCTGAAATCAGATTATCATCATAAAATTAAAGTTGCATCATATTTGTTCTGCATATCTTCATTAGTTTTTATTGGTTTAAAATCACTAATCCTTAAAAAAGACCAACCAAAAGAACAACCAAAAGAATGAAACCCCCCAACTCTTCTCCAAATGACTGAATCACAACAAATGGAAAGTAGTTAAGTGGCAACATTGAAAGAAAAGTACACAGAAAGTTCTGTCAGAAATATAAAGCAATATATTTCCTTCACAGTATTTTTCTTATAAGGCATAATGCTATGTAAACCTCTAGTTATGGGTGTTTACCTTTTTACAACTAGAAGTGCAACTAAATCTGGGAGAAACCAACATGAAAATGAAATTAACACAGAACAATGTGTTAACTATTTCTAATCTAAACTATTGTCTAAATTCTATTTTGGTGCAAGAGAAGTAATTTCTGAATTAATAACTAAATTTCCTTTGCATTCTTAAACTTTTAGGTTTTCACAGTATTTTCTGGTTTTTTTGAAGGCATTCAGTCTGTATTTTTTTCCAATTCCTATAATCCCAGGCAATCTGAATCTTACTCTTTCTTGGGTTTTGTTGGTTTTATTTTTTTTGTCTGTAACATGCACAGGAAAATCTCCATTAAATTTTAATTTACTGCCCATTGTGGACAGCATATGTAATGGATCTTCTACTTCATGCTCAAGAACTGGGTATTTATTTTTCCGGAGTAGATTAAATTTCACTTATTTTCTTGTCTAAATGCCTTTTCCTACTACAAGGCATGCCAGGCAGCCTGTTCTGCAGTAGTGCTCTACTCATTGCAGCAGCAGATGGTAACAAGCATCTCAAGGGTTAGGACTTGCTTCAGACTTTTGGTCTTGCTCTCCATGCTTTGATACTATCAACAAGTTGTGCAATTTAGCATTTAGAAGAAAAGCAATTCACAAACAAAGAGTCACAACCTTCTGTGGATCAGTTAGCACAATCCAGCTAGCCTGCTAAATCAGATTTGACTTTTTGTTCACTGTGACAACACCCTGAATGGTTGATTTTATGAAAAGTAGCTATTTCGTCAACATAAAAAGAGGCAATGGAGAACTTGGCTTTGTGCATATCCCTTATGTTGAGTGTGACACAGCAGCATCCACCTCACTAGGTATTTAAAATGCTGATCAGCCACAAGAGTGTGTGTATAGGAATGAGGACAAAATAACCTCTTGGTTTTCAGGAATATTTTAGCTTCTATTTCAACTGGCACAAATTGCACTATTTAAAGTAGTAATACACTTTTCAGTCACTTTCTGAACAAAGCACTGTCTTTTTTTCTCAAAAGACCTCACAGTGGTAGAATTCAGCTAGAACAATGAAGCAAATGTAAGAATGCAAAAAAGGACTTCATTGGTGTTAAAAGGGAGATGAACATCATGCACTTTCATAAGTTTGAATATTTATGGGCCTTACACCTCTCTTTCACAAGAAATGGTAACATGGAAAGTAATTTTATTCTTTTAATCAAAAAACAGATATTCTGTAAATATGCAGGGTCTTATGAACAGATTTATTATAATTTTATTTACTGATGTTCTGGTGTAGTAACATCATAATCTGTTTGAAGTTCTGAACTGTTGTGCCTTATCTCTTGTTCCAGTAAGGAAAAAATGAGATCAAATACTCATGTTATAATTTTACATCACTATAAATCAATCCTTTAACACCATCACAAAATTGACATGTTTCTATTAAAAAATAAACATGTGGCTTACAAAAATTTTAAATAATAGGACTATTAAAGCTTTGATGTTTTTGATCGAATGAAATGATCATTTAAAAAAAAGAATCTATATGCTTGACATTACTATAGGTTTTGCTTTTTTTGTTTTTCTTTACCATGCAAATAGACATCTCACTCCAGAACCTGTGTAGTTTCTAGAGAAACCTTCATCCGGGCTGAATGAAATCTGAAGTGCAAATATTTGCATCTAATTTCTTCTACCTGTCCTTGGCGTAAGTATTCTTCTGCACTGCTTGTTTACTCATGTCCAAAGCAATTGCCACTTCAGGATTTTCAAGGACAAAGACTGATAGAGCAATTTTATTGTGACTATGAAAAAGATTACTTGCTTATCAACACAATTTCTGAAAAACTCTATCTTCCTAGGCAGTCATTCCTCCTGTTAGGTTTTGTAACCTCATGGTAAGCATTCTCAGCTGGAGCCTCTGACAAACATTGCTCTGGGTTTGGACAACTGTTGTCCTTTTGTGAGTAGGTGACCAACCTGACAGATACAGAGCAATTTTGTCATTTTGTCCCAGTATGAAGTTCTATCATTTGTCATGTATGGTGCCATATTAAATAATCCTAATAATCCATGCTGCTCTTAAACCCTAAGAATTCTTGTGGGCACTGAGAGTTCCCTGCTCTAAACAGAAGATGAGAGCATTAAGAATCTCCAGAAACTGTTCAATGTTATGCAGGATCAGACTCTGGCAAGTTAGTAGTTTTGAAAACATAGCATGAGGCTGGAAACTATGGAACTGCTGAAAATTATAGCAACAGAGAGTGCACAACCCCGTTTTCTTAATAATGAAGCTGTACACCCAGCCCTGCTTTGTCTTTCCTATATCCCCAGAAATACATTCATTGTGACTGTCACCAAACCAGTTGCAATCCTTCCACAGTGCAAGAGAACATTATTAATTGAAGGCAGATCCTTTAGCTTCACATAGGAGAAAGGAGAAAATTAGTCAGTTCAGTACAGCTCATTTCTGGCTTTGATTTGCTCACAAAAATAAGCACATAGACATCAATCTATGTAACTGCAGCTATTCTAGAAAATCCTTCCTAAGAGAACTAAATTATTTTTACAGATAAGCAGAGTTGTTGGGTTTTTCCTTCTCCAAAATGCTCTCCTAGTTATCACAGTATATCAAAATTTTCAGTTAGTAACATTTATGTGATATCAGTGGCATGTCCAACACCATGACTTACTTCAGTTCATCTGATATCACTCTTGACTAAAGCATCAGGAAAAGGACACTGCTGGTGGTAGAATAATAAGCTTGATGAACCAATACCTTAATCAAATCTGCCAAATACTATCTTGCTATGAATAACCTGTTCCAGAGTTCACAATACTTTGGTACAGTATACTGCAAAACATAATTTCTGCCCAATAAAGAAACTTCTGCATGAATTACAGCATTCAAGCACCTGATGTAATGAGAGAAATTAGCATTCATGATATCTTTTAGAGAACGACACTTTTCTCTTAAACTATTCCCTTATCCTTCTAGAAGAAAGCAGTTCAGTCCTGACTACTAACCCAATTACTCATACTTTTGATTATCTACATTGTTACTCAAAGCACATGTATACTTTGCTTCATTTTCCATTCTAAGAATGGATCAATGCCTTTCTAACATGGGACTGTACGCACATTTGTTCATTTCTGTTCTCCTTGCATATTCCTACTGGAATTTCAGGCACACTACAGCCATACACACAGGTTATCATACAGTCCTCTCAGAATTCTGATGTATTGCAACAATCCATTTTACACCGCTAATGAGTAAAATTATGAATTTAAAATCGATGGTTGCTCTATGCGCACGGGAAAAAAAATAAAGAAATAACAAAAGGTGCGCTTATCACTCGGCTCTCAGCAGCTGCCAGCACGAAAGGACACATCGCAGGGACACGCTCCGCCACACGTAAGCCAGAAGCCGTCATATTTATTCATTCCTGACGCGGTACCGGCGCTCGGAGTTGGGTCTTCCACCGCCGCCGGCGCCCAAGGCGGGGGCCGGGCCGGGCCGGGCCGGGCCGCTCTCGGCTCCGCCTCGGCCCGCCGGGCGGGCAGCCGCGGCCCCGACACCCGCAGGGGGCAGCCTGGCACCGGGCGCCGGAGGGAGCCGGCGGGGGAAGGCTGACAGCGGGGAAGGGGCGGGAGGCGAGGAAGGAAGGAAGGAAGGGGAAGGGGGCAGCCTGGCACTCAGACTCGGGGGCGGTCTCCAGGCACGGGCACGGAGCGAACCCGGTCAGAGCGCGGCACCCAGCGGTCGCTGTCTCCGGGCCGGCAGCAATAGCAGCGACCGCGGCGGTGCCTGAGGGAGCCTCTCCGTGCTCGGCTCCGCTGTGCCGGTGACCTTCCCGGAGCTGATCGCCAGGCCGGGGCAGGGCCTCCTCTCCCCGCGGAGAGTGTGCACCAGGCCCTGGGGAGAGGGCAGGAGGCTGGGCCGGAATCCCCCGTTGCCCCCGGGTCCTCCTGGCCGCCGGCGGGGCCTGTGCGCCGCGCGGTTCGCCGCCGGGAGAGGGGCGGGGGAAGGCGAGCGGGACGGACGGACGCGGCCGGGCTGCACCTCGGGACATCACGGGGCGGGCAGGCCCCGGAGAGAGCTGAGCTGGGCGGCGGAGGAGGCGGCCACCTCGGCGGCGCATCCCGGGAAGAGTCGGGACCTCGCCACCGCCCTCCTCCTCCTCCCGCCGTTAGTGGCTCCTCGTCCCGCGGAGAGCGGAGCTGCCGCTGCCGCCCCAGCTGGGACCCGCTGGGTGACACCTCCGGAACGCCGGGCTGGGGGGACGGAGCTGGAGCTGCCCGCCTGGAGCGCAGGAGTGGGAAGGACCGCTTGCTTGCGCGGAGCGGTGGGCGCTGAGCGCCCGGCCCGGGAGCCACCCGGGGAAGGTAAGTACCTTCTCGTCGAGTCTCTGCTGCTTTTGGAGGCGGGGGAGGGCGAGAAACAATCGGTGAGTGTCTCCCTTCCAGCAGCCCGGGGAGGGGAGGGGGCACCCGAGTCCGGAGGGCCGGGCTGGCAGCTTTATCTGCTGGATTTTAATCCCCATCGGATCCGGAATTGAAGGGATGCTCAGGCGGAGGCGCGCGTGTCGCTTCCCGGCACAAAGGGGCACGTTCCCCCGGGCGAGGGAGGTTGCTCCGCTCCGCTCGCTGGCTCGGCGCCGGGCGCCCTCCGCTCCGGCCGGGTCCCGCCGAGTGCCGCTGCTCCGCGCCGGCGGCCGGGAGAGCCGGGGCTGGCGGCCGCGCCCGGCACGGAGGGAGTCGAGCCGCGGGGCGTGAGCGCTCTGCCCGCCCGAACGGGACCCGGGGGCAGAGCCGGAGTTCGGCTAGGACGCTGAGCCGAGCAGGGTGACTTCCCCATCGCCCGCCAGCCTCCCCTGCAAGCCTCCAGCCCGGGAAGCGCTCCTTTGGGAAGGCTTCTGCTATATTACTTCGTATCCGAGAAGTGTGTCATTTAATCATTAATCCCTGCGCACCGAGGGTTGGGGGGAAAATTGCAACTTGCGGCCCTGTGGAGGTGACGTGAAGTTTGACAATGCCTTATGTAACACTTTTTGGAGAGATTCCTAGTTTTTCTGTTGTGCCCAGTTTTAGTAAGCAAGTGGTTTTTCTTCTTTGTAGAACATCAGACAAGCGGTTTTTGTGTTTTCACCTGAGTACAGTGTCTCCGCCTTTGTTCAACTTAGAACAGGGGTACTGGTACACAGGATATAAAGCCTACTTTTTCCTGAGTACAGTGTCTCCGCCTTTGTTCAACTTAGAACAGGGTACACAGGATGTAAAGCCTACTTTTTCTCTACATGCATTTTTTAATGAAAATTAGCCAGTGGAGGCATTTGAGCAGTTGTTAGAAGATCTTACCTTTTTCTGTAGGTATTTCACATATCACTCTTAAAATTATTATAGGAAACATTTTCACAGCACTGATTGTCATGCATGTGTTCTGGAAGGTATGGATGCTAGGCTGGAAATGGCAATAAATCAAATGTCTTTTAAACATTCTTAGCCTCTTTTTAGACAGTATCAGTGCTGGAAAGACTAGAAAGCACTGGGCTAAACAAAGTGCTCTATTAAAATCAGACCTGGCAATTACCAACAGGTCAGCATATTTTATGTAATGATATCTGCTGGATACAGATTTAATTTTCTGTGTACAGAATATTTTTTAAGCTTCTTCAGAAATAGAAGCAGCAAGAAATTTGATAAATGGATTGAAATGTTGCCTAGTTTCCATAAGGGGTTATGTCTTCTAGCAGGGAAAAAACCCCAAAGCAAAAATAGAAAGCTAGCTTCACACACGAAAAGACAGTGTAGGGATTTGCCACATCTCTTCAGGCTCCCACTGCACAGAGTCGCTAGGGGGATTGGTTTGGGTGGCTTTCTTCCCCTCATTCAGTGGTGAAAATGCACAGACTATTGTGATGATATCTGTGAAATGTTCTTTGTTCTAGCCTTGTGGAGCTCCATCATTATGCTGTAAGCTTAGAGGAGAAATCATATGTAGAAACTTGGGTGATGAGTTAAGGGCAGGGGTTTTCTAACAAAGTCGTTTTGCTCCCTGCTGCAAGGGAGATAGATGATCAGAGGTTAGTTTACTTATAGGAATAGGACAAGCTAACAAAAAACCTTATATTGAATGTCTTTACTGTGTTTCAGTATTTTAAAATGGAGAAAAGTGAAAGAGGTATCCCTATACTTCTTGAAAACTGGCAATTGCTGGTAGGTACTCAGAGTTTGAAATGTGAAATTCTTACTGCTTAGGTGTCCTGTGACGGCCCTTGATCAGAAAGGCTGCAAGTCATGTAAGAGCCGCAGTAACTGCAGAGTCTCTCATGGATAATTGGATTGGTAGGTTGGTTTTGATTTTTTTTGTCTTTTAATTGTCTGCAGTAATAGCTGGTGCCTTTTCTCCATCATGTTGATGTTTAATTCTCATGATTTTTGGGTTATGTTGTGTGTGGCATCTTTGTGTTCGAAGTATATACCCTCTTCTCAGTTGCTGGTGGGTAAAGCATAGCTTGGAGGTATTTGACTGGCAGTACGGAGCAAGATACTTTTTTTTTTTAATGTCTGAAGTATACATGACAACTTATTTTCTTTGTTGTTTTGATGATGTGAGAAGATTTTAAGTTTTCTCAGGTCTGGAGAAATACACATTGGTTTTCTATAAAGGAGCACTGAAAACAGTGTTAACTTCTATCTTGAATTCTTTGTGTCAGCTTCTCAATCTGCAGAAATTCTGGAGTACAGTCCTCAGAAAGCCAATGTGCAGAGCAAGGATGAATGACTGCATGCCTGTTGGCAACATTAAGATCTGTCAGAGGCTTGATCTGAAATTTCAGTGCATAGGATTTTAATATTAGTAAAAGTAGTATTCCTTCTGAATTAATTATTTTAGAAAACTGTAAAATTAGGCATCTCCCAAGTGCACTTAACTCACTGAACTCAAGTGTTCTTAAAAACAATGATTTTGAACTTGTGAGACTACTTTCTGCTCAAATGTGTGGCTTTTGTTTTTACCTGTGATAAACAGTCAGTTGTTAATAGACCCTTACTGGAATGCTCTCCTCTTTTATCCATTGTCTGATGATTTTATTTTTTATGTGGCCTTATAAGAGCAATCTTAAGTAACAAACACAGACACAAAGCCAACAAAAACTAAGCTTTTTTTTTTTACTGATATTTATAAAGGCTAATAATTGGTAAAATTAGTAATCTGACGACAAAGTCTTTGCACTGTGTGTAAAACTCTCGCTACATGCAAACTGCTATTGATGTTGATGGCAGTGTTTATCTAGATCCAGAACAGCAATTAACTTTTTAAAAAAAGTGTGTCTATCCTTGTTTCCTGTCTTGTGTGAAAGCCTATGTTAATGAGCTCTTGTCAGCTTTGAAGACTTTTCAACATCTGTATTAGAATACATTAACAAAATGTCTCTTTTAAGGACATGGGATTTCTGATGTATCTTCTTTTTCTGTAACGTGTCTGTGCTGATAACGTTAAGATTCGTGTCAGAAGAGAACATGCTGGCCAGTGCAAATTTGCAGTTGGTTATTGTTCATGAGTTTGTCTCCGTTCTCATTAGAGTTGGCTCTTTTGGTTATTTGCCTAATGCTATGGCTAAAGAACTTTTGCAAAAGTGGTTTTGTGTGAGGAAATGCACACAATGTCCATTGCAAGGAAACATGCACGTGTCCTTTGCAGGGATACATACACAGTATCCATTGCCAGGAAATGTACACACATGTCCATTGCAAGGAAACATGCACACATGTCCATTGCACTGCTTTTGCTCTGTTATCTGGGTTTGGCTCATCTTCTTTTTGGTAGTGAATACTAACTTTAAAAAACAACCATTATTCATGAATGCTGGCCTTAAAAACAGTCATTGTTCATTATCCCAAACTTGGCATAATTTAAGAGCTGGAGAGTCAGAACTACCTCAAGGAAGATATTTTTACTTTTTCTTTTTTTTAATTTCCTTTTCACTGAGTCACTATTTTTTCTCTTCCTTGTGATACAGCCACCTGAAGATAAATATTAAGAAATGAGCATTGTACCTTGTAGGGATTCGTTACTCTTTTAGTGTCACTTGGTTCAGTATTTGAAGGTCTGTCTTGTCTTGTCAGAGCTTGTTCAATGCATGGCTGTAGAAAGGGAGCAGATAAGAAATTCTATTTTATTTGGAAGTTGGTAGCTCAAAAATCAAGGAGAAAATTGCTAGAAAGGATTATCCTGGTCTTGGCACTGACTTTGAAGAAATGTGCCAAGGCTGGAATCCTTGTTTAAGTGCCATCTGTGTCAGAATTAGAAGCAAACTGTGCAAAATAGTTCCATTACTCATTCTAATTTGCAGATCTGACCAGGTCTGATAATGTTTATAGTAGTATCCACATCTCCTTCCTTCTTGGCTGTAGCTACTATTTCCACAAAACGGGGTTAACTGGGTAGAAGCTACATTTAAAATTATCAAAAAGTGCCCCAGCAATGTCCAGCCTGTTCTGTAGCAAAAAGTCAGATTTGATAATGTAACCCTGGTGGTGGAAGAAGCTGGAAATCTCAGCTGATGCAGGCAGAGTGCAGCCTTCGTCTCTAATCCCCACATAAGATAGGTATGCCTGAGAATAGTAAAAAGAAATAGATTTTTTTTTTAAAGGCTGGAGTTCCCTGTCCTCATGGCTCTGGTTGCTTAACTAGTGAATGGTAGAAGAGAGGTGCCATTGCCACTCTACTCTTCTCCCATGAATTTTTGTGTGTTGATGAGTCATTTCTGTTACTCCAGATATATAATTCAGTCTATAACAATTTTTAATCCTCAGGGAATAGTCGCACATGATGACCAAGACTATGCATGCTGGCTGAGAGGCAGTTTGTCAAAGGTCAGATCAAGGAAGAGTGGCTTGATTTACTGTTTTCTCAGAAATCTGTGAAAAATAGAGAAATCGTAGCAATTTCTTATCTGCTAGTGTTTGGCCAAACTGCAAGTAGAAGTGGTAACATCAGAACCAGAGCTTTCTTTCGTAAGGACATCACCCACGTCAGTGTTAACCTGCTTTCACTCACCTGCACTGAGAGTTACAAGAAAACATGTGCTCAGAAGAAAAATAAAAATTTAAGCAACCCTCTGCTTCCCTCGCGAGAATTGTTCTCTGCTGCTTAAAACTTCCAGGACAGTTAAGTTACTGAGTTGCATTTCTCAATAGTGCCTCTACAGTTTATCCCAAAATGAAATATTAAGATACAGAGTATCAACATTTCACTTCTACCATTAGCTTTTAGATTTTATCTGCTGATTGATAGGCAGCTAAGACTTAAGACTGGGAGAAAACTAGAAATTGTTACTGAGGAATCTTCATTTAAATACAAAGAAGAATGAAGGATTTTGTTTTAGCAGGACACAAGAGAAAGGGGAGAGAAATGAAGGGAAGGAGTTGTAGAGTTTTATTTATTTACTGAAATATTTATTTAATTTATTTACTGAAACTGCTTACAATTTCTAGATTGGGAATGAATTTAAGTTGTCAGCTGGGAGAACTGAGTATTTCTCATTGTGGAATGTCAAGTGTCACTGAATGGTGGAGTGGGGTGAGCAAGAAGAATTGAGAACCACTTAAATGAGGTGATGTTTTCAGATGATACTTAGATTTCTCAGTCCATCTTCTTCTGGTCAGGTTTCATTGTCTCCCTCTTTCCGATTTCCCTGCTGTGCCCCTGAACCTCAGTAGTAAATTCTCTTAGTGACTGTTTTCCCTTCTGTCCTCAGTTAATGCTTCTTCTAATCAGTACTGCAAATAGGATTTTATGTTTAAAAATTACTGGACTTCGCTCTGTGAATCTGCTTAATTCAATATTTTCATGTCAAAGGTTCTAGAAACTCTTATTTCTACATAGAAATAAGGAATGAAAGCCCATAATTTTAGCATTATTAAATACTCAAATGTTTGTACTTTAGATAATGTTGTTCTTAATAATATTAACTTCCATTGTTTTGTAAACAGAAGGGATATATGAGGCTTCCTTGTATTTTTATATAAAATGAACTGACATTCACCTTGAGGCTCTTCAAGCATCAGTTAAATTCTGTATTTCTGTAGTCTCATTGTTTTTCAGTCCTGAGACTGGTTCTAGAATGTGACTCAGATTTAAACCTGTAGGTTATCATTCATGTAAGACAAATTTTCGAAGATGAAATATTGGTTGGCATGCTTGGGGACTCTTAAATGAGATAAAGATGGTTCCTACTGCTTTGAAAGGGTGCAATTTTTCTGTATTTTTGCATTTTTCCATATTGAGCATACTGTACAATTAGATGCTGTTTTATCAAAATAGAGAATTGGAGCATTGAAGAATGCAGTCCCTGTAAAGGTGGACGTGTTTTTGTTGCTATTATTGGAATGTGTTATAACTTACATCCTTGATCTTGATCTTCCAGAACTTTGTAATATCAACTGCACTTATGAGAAATCTGCTCCCCTTCAGTGACTATTCCAAGTAGTAGAAATCAGTAGGTGATGATGTAGTGAACGGTTTTTTAGTGCTAGAAGAGCTGCATGTTGGCATTAACTTCCACAAAGCAAAAATGGTCAGTTTAAGAAATGGTAGAAGCTTTTACTTGTTGATGTCTTCCTCATTGAGATTTGTGTCGTCAAAAGGGGGGTGCTACAAATGAAGAAAAAAGGGAAAAAATAATTACTGATAATGAGTGTATTGGACTGTAGGATGTGCTAGTGGCGAAGCCAAATCATTTGGTGATGAGCAGGTACTTTAAGAAAGAAGCAATGTGTATGGGAATAAGTTCTCATCCTTCCATAGCTGCTCTCAGACCTCAGGTGTGAAGAAGGGAGTATAGCCACAGTGGCCTAAATTCCTACCTTTCCTTCCAAACATTACAATCTGCCTGCCTTTTCCCTTGTTCTCACTATAACGCTACTGCAGCTTAAAGGCTGCTAGATTAAAATAGCTGCTTCTAGCAAACTTCTGCAGTCATTCAGTCTTACACTGTCCAGGTTTGCCATGTAATCCTTCATTGTTGGAACACTGCCTTTCCACATGAAGGCTTTGCTTTGGGAACGATTCCTGCACAGCCAAAACCAGGATGCTTTCCAGCTGGTTTGCAGAGTGGAGAGCCATGCATAGTAGTGCCTTGCAATAGGGTTATCAGGTTTGGAACTTACATCTCTACTGTTGCTATCCAGAGTCTTGCCCCTCGCTTTTGTGTGCTGTGCGGGGAAGTTTGACTTAAAATCTCAACTTGTTCATACTACCAGTTGCCGCTACTCTCAGCCTGGCACCTGAGGTATATCCAACTGCATAATGTACTAAAAGCATCTGAGGTGCTGGTTAGTAA